TTTGCTACATGCTTGGGTAAATGGAACACCAAAATACCAACGATCACTCAATCAATACACAACAAATAATATATCAAATTGACGGCAATCAAAAAGTCAACTGAAATAAGGTTGTGTCGCGCGACACACCCTGCCGACACTCCACCGACGTTTTCTCACCCACTCGATCCACTTGCCCACGAAACCCGCAATGCCCTCTGACGTATGCCATGACGTCAGCTGTGTCGCGCGACACATTCCCTTTGTGTCGGGCGACACACTCCTATTCTCACTAAGTGTCGCGCGACATACACCATGTGTCGTGCGACACACACCGTAAAAACACCCTAAAACAAACCAAAACACCTCCAAATCGATCCTACTTCACCCAAAAAGATTCTTATGCTCAAACAACACCTCTTTACTCAAGTATACTCATAAACAAGCAGTATTCAGCAAGCAAATCAACACCAATTCGCAATCAAACACACAACACACCCATTTACCCGCAAAACCATGGTCACACACTCACCTGTTTCAGAAGGGAATAACTCGCGACTTACAGACCAAATCACGATCAAAAACCAGTTCTGGAAACTAGACACCGAGAGCTTCCCAACGGTGTATAGTACGTCTCCTGGTTCCAACTGGTTAGACGGGAATCCTTCCCCGAAAACTGTTACTCCGAACAAAAATTGCCCAAACCACCCATGTTCAAAGGACCATAACTCAGCGAATATCCAACCAAATGACAAGCGGTTTCTTCCCAAATCAAGAGCAAATATCAGAAAACTTACCCCCGAAGTCTCGATCTAAACCGACTTGATCTTCACCGCCGTTTGTCTCTTCCAAAAACCGATGAAAACCACTCTAAAACCCTCAAGAACACTCCTCAATCTCAAATCTCTCAATTTCCTTAGAGAAATCTCTCAATTTTTCTGCTGGAAATGATCAATGATGATCCCTCAAGCCTTTTATAGGCAAAAACCTCGGTTTAACCAAATCGAACCGTAACTAATTGCTTCCCCAAACCGAACCGTCGGTTAGAACATTGAGTGTGTCGCGCGACACACGCCATTGTGGCGCGCGACACACGACCAAATTCTGAACTATTTGGTTCGAGGTCGTTACACCTTGGATTTTCACTTAGTGTCTCTTCTATTAATATATAGAGGATTAAATAAACCGAAATTTCAGTACATATCTAAAAAAAAAATCCATAAAACAAAACCGTAAATGGATCATATTTAGGCCCGGCCTTGTGTTCGAATTGTGAAGGTTGGACTTGCGGCTCGAGTTTGACACTATATAATATTAGTAATGGCCGGAACAAGAACAATAAAGTAGATGTAGTCGAGCTGTCTAGTCTTGTTATCAAGGGAATGCAGTTGCCGAGTTCGATACTCTGTGAA